GGGGGGGGGGGACCTATACGTCCAGACAGACAGACAGATAGATACGTTGCAAATAACGTATATGTATATTGACTGCATACTTGCACGCCACCCGAGAGAGAGAGAGAGAGAGACTTCGCACACCATTTCATTGAACACAGACCCACTCCCTCTGAGCATAGGACCAATGCCTGCCTGCCTGCCACACCGACGACATTACTGATGTACCTATGACCTTCCTTCGTCCTTCTGTCCGCTGTCCGTGTGCTGTGCTGTGCTGTGCTATGAGCGACCCGACCGCCCCCACCCCACCCCCTTGGCTTGCCTCTCTCCCCTCGTTCGCTATCGACCTTCATGTGCACATCACATTCCGATGTCAGTCCACCTGTTTGTCTGTCTGTCTGTCTGTCGGCACACACACCACGCAGTATCGATGATGGATGGATGGCACGGACGCACTCATGTGCCCCTACACGAGTGACGCATGGACCACTACTTGTGTAGATGCGGCACTGGTGCAGGGACGTTTCTGTGCGTGTGGCGCATCCATGCCATGTGTGACGTTAGCAGACGGGCCATGGCCAGACAGACAGACAGACCTAATCTCTCTGCACGCACCATGAGCGCACACCACACCACACCTGATGACTGACATTCTCTCGGTCGACGGCGCGTGACGGCTGTGTTGTGTTGGTTTTGAACGATGGTCGGGGGCCTGGTGATCGTTGTCCGCGCGTATCGTGACGGTAGGAAGACCCACATCAACCAGGTGGGTTCCCTCGCCGTCACGGGACGACGGCAGACGAGCGCCACACACCCGACCACCATGCATGTGCCGAACCCAACTCGACGACAGTGCAGTCAGTGCTTTTGAGCTTTTGACCACAGCTGGAAGAGCAGACAGCAACAAACAGACAAGAGAGCCCGTCCCTTGCATCTCATGGAGTGCTGTGCTGTGCTGCGCTGTGTGTGCTGCGGAGGTGCATGCGTGGGAGAGAGTTGCATGTGTGGATCTATATACATATGGGATGGATAGATGGGACTGCCGTAGACGACAGACAGACAGAAGAGAGGAGGATGTGTAGGAACAGTGGGTGGACGGATGTGTGTAGCCGCCCAGCACTGAAAGGATATCCTCCTCCAATGAACGTACGGGGAGATCTGCTTGAGGTCGTGAGGCTGGGGGCAGCTGCGATCCTCGCCCACAGATCCTCGCCGCATGCGAGCCGGCAATTGACCATTTTGAAGGCCTCAACGCTATCCGCCGCTCTTTTTGCAAGAAGCAGCGACGCCGGCGGCCCTCTGCACCCCCCTCTCACCCCCCCTCGCTCCTCCAGGACCTTCTCTACTAACATCGATAAGCCGACCCGCATTCGGCAACAACGGAGGGTCCGGAGCCCTGATATCCCATTAGAACAACGTCTATTGGCCGCCCATGAGCACCGGTGCGTCGCTGTTTTTGCTGCGGGCCGGGGCGAGGGCGCCGTTCAGTTCTCGCGAGAGCACTCGCGAGAGCACGGTGGCCAACGAGTCGCAGCAGACGTCTGGCGAGGCCTCCCCCTTACTCGAGAAACGCATTGACGTCCAATACCCCACGGTGAGGCGAGAGAATGCGGTCTTTGCAATGGCTATGTATGTCACCAATTGTTGGTCATTTTGAATGCAGCAAAAGGAGAATGATGGCAAGATGCCTTCTGCAGACGACCAGCACCACGGCAAACAGCCCCACGCCGACCACCATGGCGAGTTCCGCGACCTACCGATGGCGCTATTCTCGTGTTTCGCCTACATGGCGACGTCGATATCTTTGGTGCTGTTCAACAAAGCCATCCTGTCGACGGCGCACTTCAAGGCGGTGGGTGTGCTGCTGCTGGCCCAGCAGCTCTTCACCGTGGCGGTGGTCAAGGTGCTAGGGGCGGGGAAGGCCGTCGAGCTGCCCAACTTGTCGTGGGCGCGGCAGGGGCAGCTCATGGGCATGTCATTGTGGAGTTTCCTCAGGATCTTCTTGGGACTGTCGGCCCTTAAGTGAGTGCGATTGATTGATTACACAGACAGAGGAGGGGCAGGGCATGGCCGGGGGCCTCTCTTTCTTCAATGCTGGCTGCATCACACTGTGTGTGGTTGTCTTGTCAGGTACTTGAACGTGCCGATGAATTCGGCCATAGTGCGGTTGGGGTGCGTGCCGACCATCGTTGCTGAGTACCTCATGTTCCGCAAGATCCCCACCGTGGCGGTGGTCATATCGGCCTTCGTCATGGGATTCGGCGCCTTCATGGCCGCATGGGGCGACCTCTACTTCTCTCTCCCAGGCCTACTTCTCGCATTAGGTCAGATCCGCTTCCTTCCTGGCCCTTTGCACACACACAAACACACACACATAGCTGGCCATATGGGTATGTGTGTAGGTGGCATATCGAGCGGCGGTTGGTACGGTGTGGTGTCCAAGAGCGCCTTCCAGCGTCAGGCGGGGGCGTTCGAGAGCGACAATGAGTGGAGCCTGCTGCTCTACCAGTCCTTCGGGATGAGCGTGTACCTCATGGTGTGGGTGGCCGTTATGAACGAGATGGCTCTCGTCGTCAATTATCCCAACCTCTGGACGCCATCCTTCATCATCATATTCGTCCTCAGCAGCGTGCTGGCCAGCGCCCTGAACTACTGCCATTTCCTGGCGACAAACCACACTTCGGCCCTATCGGTCGCCGTGTGCGCGTAAGCGGTGATGTAGCGGGCGGAGAGAGAGAGGGGGCGGGAGGGAGGGAGGGAGGGAGGGAGGGAGACATGGATGCTGCATGTGTGTGGTTTGTTGTGTGCAGGAATTTCAAGAACAACATATGCGACGTATTGGGCATCCTGATATTCCCCGATGTGGCTCTCACATTGACTTTTGTGACGGGTACGTCAATGGGCCCTCTCTCTCTCTCTCTCCCTCTCCCTCCCTCCCTCCCTCCCAACACAAGATCATGGCTGCACACACAGACGCCACGCCTCGCATCCCTCCCTGTCTGGTCTGTCTGTCTGTCTGTCTGTCTGGTCGATATATATATCAGGTATACTTGTGTCAACCTTCGGAGCGGTCATGTACACAGCAGCCAAGTTCAACGCCGTCAAAAGCAGCCAGCCCCAGCCCCCATCGGCCAGGGGAGGGGCCGGCAAGGACGGAAAGGACGACGCGCCGTCCTCGGTGAGCAGCACCACCAGCGGCCTCACCGACACGTCGCCCCTCTCACACCGACCCACGGCTGTAGGCGAGTGTGTGGAGGCCAACGGCCGGGGCGAGGAGGACACATAACCCAACGGACAGACAGATATTCGACAGACAGACAGACAGACAGACAGAGGGGGGGCGAGAGATAGCCATGTTGTTGTGTATGTCTCGCCGGAGGATGCAGTTTTACTGGTAGCATGACGCCTGCCTGCCTGCCTGGCCGCCTGGCTAGCTAGATGGGTGCACGCACTGTCTGTGATGGCCATCCTTTGTGTGTGTGAGTGTGTCATTCATTCATTCATGTGTGTGGTATATCCGATGAGGCCTGGTGGATTGACGGACGTGTTGGTGGACTGATTCATCGGTCGGATGGGTGATGTGTCAGGTGCCTAAGCGAGACTCCTGCGCGTGTTTCATTCCTGTGTACGTACGTGAATTAAGATCCTCATCCATATCACACACAAGCTCAGCCAAACGGGTCACTGTGTCCTGTCCTGTCCACCCTCACAATCCACCCTCACAATACACACACCTCCACACAGACACCAGAGACACCAGCAAGAACAACGCCGGGACACACCCACACTTTTAATCACAATGTCCCACTTCCCCTCCCTCCCCTCCCTCTGTCTCCGCCCCCTCGTCGTCCCCCAGAAACGACGCGAGGGACGCCCTGCACAGCGGACACTGAGACGTCAGCACCAGATAACTCTCAATGCACCCGCTGTGGTAGGCCGCCAGGCATGAGCAAGGCAGGTAGGCCACCGTCTCGCCCTCCCTGAGCTCCTCACGGCAGATGACACACGCATCGGGGGACGACTCGATGGCTGCAGCAGCAGCAGCTGCTGCTGAGCTGGACTGAGAGGGCGGGGGAGGGCGGTTAGGTGTGGGCCTGACGGCTGGTGTTGGCCGAGGTTGTCCAAAGATGCCTTGCGTGACCAGCTGCAGCTCTCGCTCGTTCGCGGGGCGGCCCACAGACGGAGTTTCAGTGCCCATGGCAGCCGTCACCACAGCGTCCCTGCACGCAGTCATTGCACACGCATAGCATAGGCTCTTGGTGTGTAGATGTCTGTCGATATGGGCTGGGCGACAATGTGGCCACCGACCGTAGTATGGCGTTCAGGCTGTATGGTTGCGGAGGGGCGCGGTCAGCAGGGGCGTTCTGCACACGAACAATGTTCCTCAGGATCTCTCCCCCGGCCTCCTCCGTCGCCCCGCCGTTGCGCCTCGATGGGCTCCCGCCGCTGCCACCGCCACCAACACCACGGGCAGCATCCTCCCCTACAGACGACAATGGGTCAGCCTGACACAGACACAGACACACCGAGCACAACACGCACGATGAGACATGTCTGTCTGAGTGTGTGTGTTTCTCGTCTTTCGTCCGTCTGTCTGTCCGTCAAATGACCTCGTCAAATTTGGCCGCGTAGCACATGTCGTTGATGCGCCTTAGGAGGGGCGACTTGATGTACTCGCTGCAGCCGTTGCACCACGTGGAGAGGTCTACCAGGCTCTTGGCGATGAGGTGGCCGGACGCCTGCACGTGAGCCCTGCAAAGACAGCAACGCAACAAACACGTGATGCGTGTGTGCAGGATGCGGCCCTTCCTACTTACTGATGGCACCCGTTGCGATACCTCGAACACCGCACCCCATAACACTTCAGACACAACCCTGTCAGACACACACACACACACACAGACAGAAAGGAAAAGGGCACGACGGATGGATGCTGTGTGGTGCACACAGACACAGTGTCTGGGATGTCTTACAGTTCTCGCCCCTGTCGCCACAGTCCATGCAGGGGGCATGGGCGTCGACTCGCGCAGGAAGCTCCGCGGACAGGAAGTCCTGCTGGAGCACATGCGGACAATTCGCCTTCATTCACACACACACCACACACACACACACACCACACACCAGCAGACAATGGACGTCATCCATCCGTCCACACCCTCTCACGCCTCCCATTCACCATCCACCATCCCCGGTGACTGACTCCGTACTGTGAAGCAAACGGCGAAGAAGGATGCAGCCGAGTCAGATCCACCATCCAATGGCTGAGGCGAAGGCATCTCGCCTGAATCTCCCTCTGAACTCATCTCCGTCGCTTTCTTTCTGCACAACCTCCTCCTGGTCGACGAAAAGCTCGCCACAAAAAACAAAAGACGCTTCGCCTGCCCGTCCTCATCTCGTCCTCTCATTACACTGTCTTTCGCCTTGCGTGGCACCATGAGCTACCATCGTGGTCGTGGCGGCGGCGGTGACTATCACTCGTCGCCTCACCCCTTTCGGCGCGGCCCTCACGGCCCTCCCCGGCAGGGCGGCTTTCGCGGCCACGGTCCCTTCATGGCGCCCAAGCCACGGTCGGGCCACTGCGAGGTCATGGAGAATCCTCACCGATATCTGGAGGTGGACCAGCAGAAGAGGGTGCTGCATGTGAGCCTCTGTGGACAGCTGATGCAAGATCGGGATCTCGACGCCTTCTGCAGGTAGGTGGCTGAGGAGGGTGGAGGGTGAAAGGCAGACAGGGAGGGAGGGAGGCAGGCAGGGAGGTGCTTGGGTGATGACACTGTACCTTGCACCACACCGACGTCGGTTGTCCATCGACCGAAGGATGTGGAGACTCAGATACACCAACACACTACCCATAGCCTGACGAGCACTCACACACACACACACCACACACGCACACCCAGCACACACAGCCAGACAGAACGCCCCGTCTCGCCTGCAAGTGTGTGTGTGTGTGGTTGTCTGTGTGTGTGTGTGTGCGATGGGTCTGTCTGTCTGTCTGTCTGTCAGGTATTTGGACACGCGGATGAGTGCGTTGCGCACTGAGTTCCAGCTGGGCGAGTTGGACGCCGTGTCAGCGGTGTTCGACGCGTCGGAGAACAGCATCACCGACGAGGGCGTCAAGACACTCACCGTATGCACACACACACCCCACCCCACGGGAGGCACCCCATGGATGTGTGGTGTGTTGTGTTGTGATGTGATGTGTGCAGACGTTGTTTGACACGTGGCGCATTCATGTGCACATCCTGAAGCTCTATCGCAACCAAATCACCGACAAAGGTCAGTCAGTGAGGGAGGGGGATGGGGTGGGTGAGGGCATGCAGCATACAATCAATACAGTCAGACAGACCAGTATGGTATGCACCTTAGTCAACAGCCGTCCGTCCATCTGTGTGTGTCGGTGTGGTGTGGTGTGGGTGTGGCTATGGTGTGTGTGTGTGTTGCAGGAGCCAAGACGATAGCCAATTACATCTACCTGAATCCCCACCCAGTGCTGGAGGTCCACCTCTCGCACAACCAACTCACAGGTAGGCAGTTACACACACAGCCACAGCCACAGCCACAGCAGCACACCTGACGTGACATGTGTGCCTCTGAAACACATGCTTTGGTATATGTGTGTGTCCGTGTGTCTGTGTGTCTGTGTGTGTGGTGTGTGGTGTCATCCCTGGCACAGACGAGGGCATGAAGCATCTGCTGTGGACGTTCGCCAAGCACGAGGGATACCCCGCATACCCCAACCCAATGGACAAGTAAGCCACGCACCCCCCTTCCCCCTTCCCCCCCCCACACCACCACCCCTGCGCACACACACACACATAGAGCACACGGATAGATCTGCTGGTGGTGTGTCCGCTGTGCGTGGTGCGTGTTGGTGCGTGTGTGGTCAGGTTCGACAATGTGGGTCGTCAGACGGCCATTCAGGAGGGCATCGCACTGGGCCGCGGCGGCAACAGGCGATGGGTCCCCGTGTGGCTGCGACTCGAGAACAACAACCTCACCGACGTCGACGCGCGTACGACGCGAGCACTCACACCTCACACAGACAGACAGACAGACAGAGAAGGGGGTGTGCTTTCCGTCGCCATGCTGCTCGTGTGTCACTGTGTCAGTGTTTGATTGGATGCGCGAGAACGAGGTGACGTACTGCATCGCCCACCCGAGGGATCCCCACTGCACCGCCAGGGCATGCAAGCTAGCCGAACCAGGACGAGCAGGTGACCTGACTCACCACCATGATCTCAACACGCACACACACACACACACACACACATGTCTGTCTGTCTGTCTGTCTCCCCCTTGCCCGTCCATCACCCACCCCCTGATCAGAGATCAAGGTGCATCTGCCGTCGTCGCTCATCGAGACGTCGCATCGCCACAACATGCCCCCGCCACAGGGCTCTCGGGCGGGGCCTCACTCCCACAGGGGCGGGGGACCGCCCCCGCAGCACAACGGACGAGGGGGCGGCGGGGGGTGGGGCGGGGGCAGTGGTGGGGCAGGGCCCTACCGCAAAGGCCCCTACCGTGGCGAGCCTCACCACAAGGGATATGGATCGCGTAGCTCGGGGGGCGGGCACGCGCCTGCCGGCCGCAGTGGGAGTGCGAGTGGTAGTGGGAGTGGCGGCGGGACGTATGTGCCAGTGGTGCGGCAGAAGCGGGACCGGGAGGAGATGGAGAATGGCGGTGTTGGCGGCGGCGGGGGGCATGATCGTGAGATGCGGGATGCACCGATGGTGGCCGCCTGACTGACGGGGTGGGGTGGGGTGGGGTGTGTTTTGGGGCTGAGGAACGTTTTTGCTTGCTTTAGGGTGTGGGGGTGGGGGGTGGGTGTGGATGGGGAGGGACGGCCGGCGGGCGCTTTATAACCCGGGATTGCTCCTGCTGCTGCTGCTGCGTTTGCTCGGGTGGCTGCCCTCTCTCTCTCTCTGTGTGTGTGTGTATGGTGTTGTTGAGTCCGTGAGGTGCTCGATGCTCGCATGTCCGTGCGTTTTGAAGATAGCCATGGAGGGGGAGCGAAGGAAGGTCTGAGGAAGGTGTCTTTCCGTTTGCTGTGTCGCTTCCGTGGGGCCTTGCTGGTGTTGTCCTGGGTCACCCTCTGCTGCGGACGGCCTGTCCCCAAACAGTCCGTCTGTCCCGGGTGGTGTCGGCGGGCTGACACACGTGAGGTGCCGCACGCACGACGAAAGGACAAGCACTCTCCTGTCAGTGAGTTCCATGCAGGTCAGACGTATTGTGTTGTGGGTGTGTGGGTCTGCGAGTGCGTGTTTTGCCATCCACCTGTTGCTTGTATCTTGGGCATGCCACGCTCTTCGATGCGTCAGTGCTGTGATGCGTTGGAGGTCGTTGCATGCTCGTGTTGCACAAGCAACAGGTGGAGGCAGACGCGCACAGACACAGATGAGAAAGAGAGAAGCGCAGGAAGGGGTGAAGATGATGTGGTGTGGTGTGTTGTGGGGGGGACTGCCTGGTGGATGGATGGATGGATGGATGGATGGAGATAAGGAGGGCGACAAACGAGGCAGGCAGACAGGCAGAGAGGCAGGGGAGGGTGGGCATTAGAGGGGGCTCTTCGCCCCCCACATAGCAATATAGCAGCTGATGGATGGACGGATGGATGGATGGCTACCTCGCTCCCCCCTCCATCCCTGCCCCCCTCTGTGGTGTAGATAAACAAACACATATGACATACATATGTAATTGGCGGCACGCATCGCAGCGCACCCAACACACGGCACACGGACGGATGCTCGACTCGAATCGACTCGACTCGCCAATTACCGACCGACCCAGCCATGGAGCTGGCCAGACAGCCAGCCAGCCAGCCGTGGGATCGATATCTATCTAATTCAGTATAATTACTTACTGGGCATGCGTGTGTGCTGTGCTGTCTGTCTGTCTGTCAGTGTGTCAGTGAGCTGACTTGTCCGACTTGTTGCTCCAACGAATGTATGATAGACGTCTAATGAAGGGAGGAGCATACACTCGAGCGCGACGCTGTCACACAACCAAGTCCATCAGTCGGTCAGTCAGTCGGTCCATCTGATCAGTCGGTCAGTCAGTCCTCGGCAGCTGTTTCCCTGGCCTCTTTGGCCTTTTCCTTTTCCCTCGCGGCGGTGAAGTACTTTTCGCTGTACTCGGTGATGACGCCGTAGCAGCACCAGGCACACAGACCAAACATGGCCATGAACACCACCCACCGCACTGCCAGCATCGCTGTGCATGACGCACCCACCCACACACAGAAATATATACACAAGCAAGAGACAGGGAGGGAGACAGGGAGGGATCTCTTATTTACTTGAGCTGAGCGCCTCGCCGACCCCCGCCACCCCCACACCCACAAAATCTGCACACACGCGATGCGCGTCTGTCCCTGTCTGTGTCTGTCCCTGTCGTGATTAGGCTCACGCTCGCATATGTCCCCCTCAAACCCCGGTCTGCACGAGCACACGAAGGAGCCCGGCCTGTCCTCGGCGCACTGCCCGCCATTCAGGCAGGGGTTGGCATCACACTCGTTGGTGTCTGCACACAAACATCCCTCCATCCATCCGCCCTTCCGTGTGGTGTGGTGTGTCTCTGCTGTCTGCCGACCGATATCGCAGTTGAGCCCCTCGAAGCCGTCCTTGCAGATGCACGTGTAGAAGGGCTCACTGCAGGCCGCACGTGCAGATGCACACACACACACAAATACACACACACACTTATATATCGGCCCCTGCGATTGCGATTTGGTGCGGGTGGTTGGGTGGCTGCTCACCCTTCGATATTCATGCACTCGGCGCCGTTTTTGCAGGGCGAGACACCGGGGAAGGGGCCCCTCTCGTAACAAGCGTAGATCCCTGCAGAGACAGACAGACAGACAGACAGACAGACACGCCGAGAGACAGAGACAGGCATACACACAGCAGCGTCGGTGTTTGTGTCTGTCTGCCTCCCTGAGCGTGTGTCTGTCTGTCCCGTTCCTCATTCATGAATGGCTCACGCTTCTCGCAGTAGATGCCCTCGTAAGGCCCCACACAGACGCACTCGAACGTGGTGCCGTCCTCCACACAGGTCGAGTTGTTCTTGCAGATGCCCGTCGCGCATATCTGGGACCGCAACACACCTGCCCGTGACGCACACACACGTCGAATGCATTGGATGCACCGCTGTATACAGTGTATGAGACTCATGCAGTGAGTGTGGCTGGCTGGCCGTCTCGTCCCACGCACGTGTCCACTGAGCGATGAGGCAGACAACAAGGGAGACGGAGAGTCTGACGCTGTGAAGGGGCCAGGGACGGCGCCGGCGGGAGACTGTGGTCATCTTGACATTGCTTTGCTGCGATGAATAGGCGATTCGGTGCGGCAATAACAGCAGCTCAGGGGCTTCTTCCATGTGGATGTCAACAGCAGGGTTTCTTACCCCGCAACCCCACAGCGAGCTTTTTCGAGAAAAGTCGTTCGTGCTACACGGACGGGAGAGGAACGTGGCGCAGTTGAATCGCGTCCAGTGAGTCCCCTGACTGCAGTTGATTATCAGCATCGGCGATGACAGATCCGCCTTCGACGACGGACACAACGACAAACCAACAGACCAACGCGAACCAATACAACGATGAGGAGCTGGTACGCCACAGACAGACACACGCACACACATACACGCATAGAGCACGGAACACTCCATCTCATGACACGCATGACAACATTTGTGTGTGTGTGTGCGCGTGAATGTCAGGCGCGTCATCTCCAGCAGGAGGAGTTCATGGGCGTGGCGACAGACAGACACCAACACGTCCCCTCAGCCGGAGGCATAGCCATGGGACACATGTAAGCAGCCATCTCTCACACCTACACGCACACGCGCACACGCGCACACGCGTATTGTCATCATCTCTTCTCTCTCTGTCATGACGTGCCCGCAGGCCGGGTTCGTCTGCTCCCACAGCGATGACTGGCGGCCCTCAGCCGACAGTGGTGGGGCAGCCAGTGGGGTTCGGGCCAACGGGCATGGCCATGGGCAACTATGGCGGGCCGCCGGGCACCATGGGCGTCATTGCCGTCTCTGCGCTCACACCTGGTGGGCGGGGGAAGGCGAGAACAAACCGAGAGCCAACCACATGTGTGTGTGTGTGTGTGTGTGTGTGCGTGTGTTCATTCATTCAGCTGAGGGCAAGGTGTTGTTGGCGTATCAGCTGAGCAGGACGGTTATGTGTCTGAGCGTGTTGGATTTGCTGATATGCGTCACCTGGGCCATGAACCGAAGCTTCAGATGGTGAGTGAGTCTGTATTGGGTTGGCCAACACAGGACAGGTGTAAGGCAACAAACGAGACGAGGGAGTGTCTGTCACCCTCTCTCTCTCTCCGTGTTTGTGTGTGTGTGTGTTTGAAGGTTTCTTTTGCTGACTCCCTTTGCTCTGTGCGGTCTCATCGCGGGGTGGACATATAACCGCATCTTCGTACGCAGTCCACAAACACACAATGGATGGATGGATGGATGGATGGCCGCTCATTCGCTGTCCCTGTGTGTGTGTGTATCTGTGTATCTGTGTGCTCCGCAGGTGTGGGGCTACCTGGGGTACCTTTGCTTTTCTATCGCGGCAAGGATAGCTGTCGGTATGCATGGCATCTACGAAACAGACAGACGCACACAAACGCGCACACGCCATGCCAAGCGAGCAGCTCTCGAGTCGAGGTGGGTCTGTCTGTCTGTCTGTCAGCCATCCTGTTGATTGCGAACTACAGTGGCGGCTGGCTCACCGCCCTCCTCTACTTCCTCTTCGTCCTCATCGAAATATGGGTGGGTGGGTTCGATGAGATGAGATGACTGACCTGCCGTCCGTCAACCAACCAATCGTGTGCACATCCCTGTGTGTGGTGGTGTGTGCGTCACTCACCTACAGGTGATGCGTCTTGTGAACAAGTACCGTTTGCTGCTGACGGAGCTTACCCCCGAGGACATCGCCAACCTCAAGGCGGGCCGCATCACACCGCCCGCACGACAACTCGTGTTCTTCTGACACACATCACTTCCGTCACCGAGGAAGGAATAACACACACACATACACCGACACGCAGAGAGAGGGATGGGAGGGGGGCGGGGCGGGGAAGGGAGGGAAGTGGGCAATTAAGTGACAATAATGTCATTTTCATCTGAGTGGCTGAGTGGGTACGCGCCCGTGATACGCACACACACAGAGAGAGGGGTGAAAGGTGGGTGTAGGGGGTTGCTGGTACAGTTATGGCAGCAGGAGGGCGACATGTGGTGTGGTAGAGGCAGGAGTGACTGCAGGGATGGAGGGATGGCTATACCGTGTTTGTATCCTTGTTGGTGGTGTGTGCCCTGTCTGTGTGGGTGTTAGTGTGCAATGAGAGACAGACAGACAGACACCCGTCTGCTGCACACAGCACATCACATTTGATAGAGCGACATACATGTCGTCTGCCCCAACCACAAATGTCACAACACGCACGGCAACGCACACGACTGCCTGCACCGCATGACCCACTTACTTACTGATGGCTCGCGCCGCGAGAAGCATGTCCACGGCGCAAGTAAGGCATGGCACAAATACAGTACGCACTGCACACGTGAAGCTCAGATGATGACTAAGCGACAGAGAGACGTCAGGAGGAGGAAGAGAACACACAACCCGATTCGACAAAGCCCATACATACCAACACATGGATATATATAAAGGTGCCCATCAGATGGTCTGATGGATTCATCGCTGTACACACAAGGAGATACCGAAAACCATATATGCTGTGAGGGCCATGAATGCACGCAAGACGGTAGCGAAACCTGCCTGCCTGCTCGCTCCCTCCCCTCTCTACTCTACGTCAGTCACGTGGTGGCTTTCACGCCCTCCAGATCGGTGGCATACACGGCCCTGGTGAGGCACGCAGGGCACTTGAGCACGCCATCGATCTGCACCCACATGGGCATCGCCTTGTCCGGCACACCCCGCCGCCTCAGTCGCTCCATCTCACGTTTGGCCCGCTCGTGGTTGTGCGACATCTCAGCCCAGCAACCGGCACACAGACACCTCTGCTTGCAGGGGAAGAAGACCACTGAGGGAGGCCGCTCGAGACAGGCGACACAGGTGCCGTCTTGCATGGCCTGCTCGGCGGCTGCACGCTCCTTCTGCTGCAGAATGCCCTGTTGCTCGCTCGCCTTCTTGCTGAGGGCCCGCAGCTGCTGCAAGGCCGATGTGATGTCGCGCTTGAAGGCCTCTACATCAGTAGCAGTGTCGATCACCGATAGACGATACTCGGTCAACCTGATAAATGAGTGGATGGATGGCAGACAATGCGCGTGAATCGGTTGCCTTTTACCCAGCGGCCGCTTTCTGCTGCAGGTCGCGTCGCTGTTGCTCGAGTGCCGCCACGTCTGTTTCCAAGGACGCACATCTGCCCCGCTCTCTAGCTATGTCGCCCTCGAACCTGAATTACACACGTAAGTGGCCGGCACAAACGCTGTGAATGCACCGTGCGCCGTCGACTCTGCGTGCGCCGTCGACTCTCTCACTTTTTGATCTGGTTGATGGTTCGTTTGAGCATTTGTCGCAGCTCCTTGGTCAGCGACTCGGCATCCACGGCCGACGCCGAGGGCGACACATCAGCCGACGAACACCTGTGGATGGGCGGAAGAACACCACGACAGTTGACAGACAGGCGCCCCTGTCTGTCTTTCCCTTCCTCTTCTCACCCCTCTGCTCTGTGTGTGGTAGTCGGCCGATCGCTATCGATACTATCGTTGGCACACTGCTGCTGCTGGTGCTGTCCCGTCTTGGCTATGTCGAGTACTCGATACCACAGCTGGCCGTGCAGCTGTTCCAGCCGCCCCTCCTCATTGGCTATATTGTCGGCGAACTCACCGATGGCGGCTGAGGTTGTCAAGGCCGCCAATGCGTCACGACTCAAGCTGCAGAAAGAAACACATCCACCGCTCTAGGTCCCTCTCGTTGCTGACCGAACACCGCTCACTTGTGCGAAGTGGTCTGCTGCTTGAGCTGCTTGATGTCCTCTTTCAGCTGATCTTCCCGCTGCGTGACGCGAGAACGGGTGGCCTTCGCGGCTGCAAGAGACGACTCCAAACTGCGCCAACACAGATATACACGTTGCATAGCCAGTGGAGCCATCGCTGTACTCATCTGCTGACCTCTGTGTCTTTGCAACCGCCTCGCTGATGGCACCCTTGAGCTGAGCAACCACTGCAGCCGATTTGCCGCTTTCTGGTGCTCGAGTACCGGATGAGGTGGTGCTCTGCCGCCATGAAGGGATGAGGGGACGGACAACGACAGCACACACGACTGACAGGGCGACCAGGCCAAGCAGGGCGGCACCGACCCATCGCGCACAGGAGGGAGACTGCTGCGAGAGACGAACTCGGCCTACACCGCACTCCTGTGATGTCATCCTGGGATTGTCGTCGTCCAGCGAGCCATCCTCCCCCCAATGGATGTCGGCCGTGGGCAGCGGACATCGTGGGCACTCACTCCCATGGATGTCAGTCAGGGGCCGGGGACAAGCGCCAGTGGCCAGGGCGGCCATCGTGTCCTTGGCTGTCGTCCTGGTGATGATGTCATGACTGTAGCTGGCGAGCTTCTGGATAGAGTGCAGACAGCCGCTCTGCAGTGCAAACACACACACCAAACAGACATGGGCTAGTGAACGGAGCAGACCGACCTTGTTGAAGATGATGTCCTTCGCGCGACCGCTCAAGGCGACGCTACTGTTCCTGCCATTGAAAAACCACGATATGGCGACAGGACGAGATGGCGACAGGGAAAGCCTTACCGGAGGAGATCATTGAGGGATCCGATAATATAGATCATCGTCAGGTCCACTCCTTCCAATTCCCATCTATACTCCCCCTGGCCCCCAAGCACCTCACACGAGAGCTCCACACACCCATGATCGACCGCGTGATAACGCTGCAACACACGACACACATGAGCGTCTCCGGCTGCTCCGTCCCTGGTGTGGTGCAGGGGCCAGCTAGCGCACCTGTGTGTCGTTTCCCCACTTCATCAGTGGGCCACAAGAAACCAGAAAAAGTTCCCAGAAGGCCTGGCTTCTTCCGTCACTGCGATCGGCCTCCCGGTGGGCTGTTACGGCGTTGGGCAGGATAGATCCGTCCATTATGTCGGAAAGAAGCGCGGACTGTGCCTGTGGCTTCCCTCCTGCCATCGTGCACACACAGGTCAAGCAACAAATGATTTCTCCGATACATGCACCTCCTTGTGGTATCTCACTGACCGATCTTGACTGATGTTTCCAACACTGTTCTGACCATGGCGTTGGCGGCATGAAGCTGGAGGTCGACGTAGTCGGACGGCAAAACCGACGGTGAGAGCCTTGTCAGCAGCCCTCGTTGGAACAAGACATCTATCACGTCGGTCCTGACAGACTGCGGGCAGGGACTGCCCGTTGATAACGCTTCAACAAAATTGCGGGCGACAAGAAGCAAGCAATAGCATCACACCACGCACCATTCTGGCGTGGCAAGCTGACCACTTACCGGTCACCATATTCCTTAGAGTCTTGGTCGCAGCTGTCCTGATAAACAGCGGTTTGTCGTCGAGCAGCTTCATGAGCAGGGGCACTCCACCCCACTCCACCAGCTCATCCACCCGTCGGAAGCAATTCTCCTTCGCCTTGTCCGTCACGAGGAATAAAGGGAAGAAGACATCGTATGTGAAGAGCTCTCGGCCCGTCGCTTCGAGAGTGTACAAAACGAGTCCGAGCGCCTCGACAAGAGAGGGGATGGCACCCACCCTGAAGCAGAAGCACGCCGTGTGTAGGCAATCCTGCCTTCGTGTGTATTGTATGAGAGCCCACCGTAGGAGAGCCTTAGTAGCCCGAGGTCCAGCCTCTGCAATTTCAACCAGCAGCTGCCCTACTTGCTCTTGCACGGAGCGCACGGCACACTCGCACAAGACTCTCGCCAGCCGCAAGATGGCTCGCCCGTAGTCATTTGCATATCTTGCCGCATCGTCCTCCCGCCGTGCACTCATGGAGATGGAGTTCCGGATCTGCATGAGTGGAGACAGTTCCTGGTCCGTGTCGTTGCTCTCCAGCCGCTGCACCAGAGAAACATCAAACGGAACGCCACTGCCAGCCGGCAGCGAGATGAGGCCCAGCAGAACCGGTAGAAGGATCTCCATGCGAACGACCTGCACACAACACCACGGCCAGTAGGGCAGATCTGTGCATCTTTGTTCGAGGATCTTTTTCGTTTCTTTCTTTCTTTCTCGTACCCGCATCCTCCTCAGTTCTGTTGATAGATATTGCCGGCACCTGCTGCGTCATCAGAAGCTCCGTGAAACTGAGGCCGCATGAGCTCGCCCCCCAAAAAGAGATCACTGCAAATGATGGTGAGCCACTTCTCCGTCGACCTCGGGCTCTTGCCCTTTCAAGAGGCTGCCTTTGTTCGCCCAGCCGCCGCCGCCGCCCTCCCACTGGCCGCCCTCGAGGGCAATGCAGCTGCCCGCCTGGGGAGCGTCGTCGACTACCGCCCTGCTCGCGAGGCCGCAGGTAGGCCAAGGCAGATAAGACGGGGCATGCGACATGCAAGATTCGGACTGCGCTTCCATTTCGAAGCATTCAACTCATGCATGCATTCATTCTGCGTTCCTTTGGTTCTACTGCAGGCGTCATGACGCCTGAGCTGCTGCCTGTGCCGCCGTCGCTGGTGCCGTCGCCCTGCCAGTCTCCGCCCCTCCACCCCCGAGCACCCTCGACCCCGTCCCTCCACTCGCAGACAGGCACCCCTGTCACACCGCTGGGACAGGTGCCGCGGCCGCTGGGCGAACTCAGCCCTCTCACCCTCCCCCCGGCCCGGCGAGCCCTTTCCACCGCCTCGAGCGTCAGCAGCTCAGGGTATATGGCCTCCTCTGAGGCCGGGGAGGAGGAAGAAGAGTCGGAGGGAGGGCTCAGCCTCTCCTCACCTCCCCCTGCCCCCGTCATCCAATCGCCCCACCCCCCTGCTGCGCCCGGCCCCAGGCTGCCAAGAGTGGCGACCCTGGTGACCGCGGCCATGCAGAGGCGGAGGGATGAGGCGCTGCAGCGCCGGGAGGAGCTAGAGAGGAGGGAGCCGCTGCGCCGATTCCGCTTCTGATCCCTCCCACAACTGTTCCGCTGCTTAGACAAGATCGGCATCGCATCACACACATGTATCACACCATTCATGACCACTCAAGGACCAGACGAGCAGATACAGGAGCGAGAAGGAACAGACAGGGTGCCTGGGTGGAGGAGGGGGCGGGGAAATGTCGGTGAACGGCGGTGGTGTTGGTGATAATGCTGGGCTCGTGGTTGAGGCGGTGCTTGACTCGACATCTCAGCGTGCGTTCTTCTTCACAGTGGTGGCACAGCCGGTGTTTTGGGGCTCGCTAATGGTGGAGACGCTGCGGGGGGGAGGGGTGAGGGGTGAGGGGAATGCGGCGAATGATCAGCCGTTGACGATAGACGAGAGACCGGAGAGGCAGCTGCTGGTGTCGACGCAAGTCGTGGTGGATGTCCGGCTGGGTCACTTGGTGGCCCTGTGCGCCATCTACTGTACCGGCGTTTGTCTGTGGACGCTGACCCCGCAGGAGACTGCTGTGTCTCGCAAAAGAGCCCTACTCCACTGCCGCGTGTGTCCTGATGGTCTTCTTGCGGCTGGCGACGTCGCTCAGTGAGCGGCTGACGGTGGTCAGGCTTCCGGCAGTGGTGGCTGGGTCGCTCGAGAATGTTCTACGTGAGACCGTTACCTTATGCTCTGCGCACGTGGTGCTGAGCGGCGCATCGATCAGAGGAGTGGTGTCTCCCCCAATGCCTCTCGGCCTGATTGTGTCTTCATCCCGCGATCTTTCTATGGATCTCACCAAGTACAGCAGGAGGTCGCAGAATGAGTGGACCAGCAGCGCTATGCAACGAGAGACGGCCTCAACTGCCTCAGCTGATGTAGAAGTCGAGAACCAACCACCACCAGCCGATGTGACCATGCAGCAGCTGAGAGGGCACGACACAAGGCCAGCAAAAGAGGCGCACTTGTGTGGTGTTGGTGACGTGCGCCGTCGTCTGCGCTTTCGCATGTGGGGCGCCGAGAAGCGACAGGACACTGACAAGCAGCTCGAGAATGCAGAGGCATCTGGCACGAAAGAGCGCTAAGGAACGCTGTTACCACAGGTGAGCGATACCAGCAGCACCAACAAAATGCGTACCCTCCGAGCATCACCATACGCCTTGCTCGCTCTGTGTGTATGTGCCCAGCGGTCAATGCGAGTCGTGATGTTGTTGACGGCCACGTGAGTCGGTTCCCTGAGGCAAGATACGCTCTACCGCATGGTGAAGCCGACACACCCAGGCGTCCAGGCCAATACGTGAAGGTCTCCTTTTGATGTGAGCGCTGGGAGGGATGCACAGGCAAAATCACAACACGGCACATCGAATCGATCAACGTGTGCATCTTCAGGTCGTCGGAGCCGGCCATTACTGGAAGACTGGCCATTCCAAGAAGGCCGCACCGTGACCAAACACACACTCAACGGGATGGTGCAGTGCAAACCGAAAACGACTGTAAGTAAGCACACGGAGAGCTCACCTGATCACTTTGACCCACTTGATGCACAGAACAGAAAGAGACTTTGTGTGCTGTGTGTGGTGCTTGTGCAGCGCGTGTCTCGTCAAAGCGATGCCAGGTGATGGTGATGTCCGCCATCGAGGCCGCGCACTGACATGCAGACCGGTGAGCTGACTGCGGAAGGAATTGAAAGGAAGAGAGTATCTATTCATACACTTTGTGTGTGTGCACATTTGTGTTTGGCTCAGGTGCCAGTCAGTGCCCAGCCCAGCAGTTCCTGTTGGGTCCTCTTGGTCAGCTATCGCGAGCGGACCTTTAGCAGGCAGAGACCGCGCACCTACAGGCGACTGGAGAGATGAAGGCCCAAGCGGTGCGACCACTGTGCGGCAAGTGGGCGGCTGATGGAAGCCAACGACCATAGGGGACTGTGGTCTTCTTACGGCTGGCGACGTCGCTCAGTGAGCGGCTGACGGTGGTCAGGCTTCCGGCAGTGGTGGCTGGGTCGCTCGGGAATGTTCTACGTGAGACCGTTACCTTATGCTCTGCGCACGTGGTGCTGAGCGGCGCATCGATCAGAGAAGTGGTGTCTCCCCCAATGCCTCTCCGCCTGATTGTGTCTTCATCCCGCGATCTTTCTATGGATCTCACCAAGTACAGCAGGAGGTCGCAGAATGAGTGGACCAGCAGCGCTATGCAACGAGAGACGGCCTCAACTGCCTCAGCTGATGTAGAAGTCGAGAACCAACCACCATCAGCCGATGTGACCATGCAACAGCTGAGAGGGCAGCGAGAGACAAGCAGACTGTCAGCGAGCAGAAGAGGCGCACTTGTGTGGTGTTGGTGACGTGCGCCGTTGTCTCCGCGTCCGAACGTGGGGCCCCGTGAAGCGACAGGACACTGACAAGCAGCTCGAGAATGCAGAGGCATCTGGCTCGAGAAAACACTAAGGAACGCTATTACCACAGGTGAGCGATGCCAACAGCACCAACAAAATGCCTACCCTACGAGCATTCACTGTTCCGCCTTGCTCGCTGTGTGTGTGTAAAATATAGGATAGGCAACTTGACTGCGGTCGTAACGTACGTGGCTTCTCTGAGTCAAGAGCCGCTCTACCGAAGGCGGCCGAAACGTGAAGCTTTCCTTTCCACGTAAGCTGGGAGGCAATGCAGAGGCGAAATCACAATACGGCACATCGATTAACGTGTGCATCTTCAGGCCGTCGGAGAAGGCCATCGGTCACTTCGACCAAACACGCGCTAAACGGGATGCTCCACCTAAGAACGCTTGTAGGCACAGAGAGAGCCCCAGTTGATCCACTTTTACCCTCTCGATGCACAGAAAGAGACTTTGTGTGCTGTTGCTTTGTGCGGTGTTGTGTGCAGCACGTGTCTCTAGGGCGATGCGCATCTCTTCCAGGCGATGGTGATGTCCGCCATCGAGGCCACGCACTGAAACACAGAGCGGTGAGCTGACTGCGGAAGGAATCGAAAGGAAGAAGGTATCTTTGTGCATACCCGTATGTGTGTTTGTGTTTCGTCAGCTGTCGAGCAGCAACGGGCAACGGCGAGTTTCAGGCGTCACTCGGTGCCCACCAACAAGGCCTGAGTGGCTCCAAGCCAGCCGGCTCCCCGAGGACGAGAACACACCAACAGGCTCACACTCAGCTGTTTCGTGACACTTGTCTTACCTATCTAAGGTTGTGAGAGACGTGATACCGACAGATGTGCTCTCAGTCACATCTCGAGACGTGCGTGCCCTACATGACGGGGGAGACGGGGAGGGCATTGTCCTGCCTGACGTACCAGATGTGGTACGTGTCTCGTGTCAATGCACGTGCACGTACGTCCATGTATGTGAATGGACGGACAGACGAGACTTCATGCCAATGGAAAGCCCGAAGATTCAGAAAGAGAAGGAGTGCGCACACCATTCATTCATTCGAGCATTCGAGTCACCCGCCCACCCACCCACAACACGGACATGAATGCATGAGCGCTAGACAGCAGGCACATTGATGCACTTCATGAACGTGTCCATCCATCCATCCATCTACCTACCAATCAGCCCTCTTTCCCTGCCCCCATTCACCGATTGGCTGCGGCCGTCTTGTCGTTCCCTCCCTCCGCCCCCTCTACTCGCCCACCCACCACTGAGCTGCTCACCGCCACTGGCAGTCAGTCGGGTAAAGTGTGTGGGTTGGCCTTGGCGAGGACCTCTCTGCCGCCCCACCAGTAGCTCTTCCTCTCGTTCATCCACTGTGCGGTGATCGAGTACATGGCGGCCGGGTAGCGTGCGTCGACGCTGCACCGCACCTTCAGAGGCACGTCGCACGGGGCGTCCTGCCACAACGACTCAACCACATTCTCCTGCAGACATGCATACAATCAATGCACACCACACACACCACACACACAGGCACCGTGTCTGTCTGTCTGTCTGTCTGTGTGCGTGTACGGCCGCACCCCACGCACAGTGCTTGCCTTGTCGGAGTCATCAAGTTCCAGTTCGGGTGGCTCGAGTGGCGGGTTCCACAGGTGGAGGTAGTAGGGGTTGAAGCTCGTGGTGTCGTTGAGGGTGTCGTAGGCCACCATGCCCTTGTTGGCTTCGTTGTCAGTCGTGACGGATCTCGCCCACTGCTCCCCCCTGCTGAGCCCCATCAGCGCCACTTTCCTCTTCTTGCCCTTGCCCTTCTCCAGCTGGGTCTCCAGCTCCGCAATCTTGCTCCGCAACGCACCCTCCAGACCGGTCTTTGGCTGCTGTTTCTCCTCTGAGCTGTCCTCCCCCCGGCTGGCCTGCTCAGCGACATTGTCTGGGCTGGCTTGCGCCGGCTCCACGAGCACCGAGCGCATGAAAATGACGAAGCCGGCCAGCTGGGAGTCGTAGGGCAGGGTGAAGGACAGCTCCCGCGTCTGCTGCAGGCTCTTCTGCAAGTCGCGGACGTGGCTGTTGAGGTCGTACCGCTCGAACAGCTGCGGGGGCGCCAAGAGCAAATCGACTGAACCAAGGAGAGAGGCAGGCAGGGAGGGATGCAGGGAGGGAGGGAAGGAGAGAGAGCAAGACACACGAGGAAAGACTCAGTGGCCTGTTTTGTGTGCGCGGCCCGCCCCGCCCCGCTCACGAGGGAACTTCCTGACGTCATAGAGGCCCTCTTCCTCTTCGTTTGGCCATATATTCCACCATCGCCAGTTGCGGTACCTGTCGTACCACGAGAGCCTGAGCGGAGCCACGGGAGCGATCCACGTCTCGACCACCCCGGGCAGCACCCTGCCGCCCGTAACGAGGACCTTCTTCTTGGCCCTGATGACGTCCAGTATGCTTCCCTGCTCGCTGGCCAGGTTGCCCGACAGCTCGTGGACGAGGACGTCAGCCTTGACCTCGTTGGGCGTCTCGGTGATCTGGCGGAAGATGTTGACCTTGGGGTACCCCACGCCATGGCTGAACCGGCTGACCCACCTGGCCCTGTCGAACCCAAAGCCCTTGCGTCTCAACTCCTTGTAATAGACGTTGTCCTGTGCGTCCAAGCCGCGAGAGTCCCCCGGGTAGGCAAAGGTCTCCTGGAGCATCCATTTGCGCTGCTCCAGCCACCGAGCGGCCAGCTCCCAGGCGTCCTGGTGGGGCTCCACGAGATACACGTGCCGGACGCTGGCCTGCATGCACTTCTCCACCATCTTGATCGCAGGGCCGCAACGATTCACTAATGGATTCATGAGTCAAAGGGGAGGGAGCATCGCATCACACATACATACATACAGGCAAACAAACAGAAGGGCCAGTCAGTGCAAAGGACGGGAGCTCTTCCTTGCTCGCTCGCCCTGTCTGATCTGCCTTGTCTGTCTGCCCGTCTGCCTCTCTCCCTCCCTCCCTCCCTCCCTCCCTCTCTCCCGACTCACCGAGGATGGATTTGTCCCTGGCGAACTGGGTGAGTGCCTGTTGGAAGCAGTCGAGCCTGACAGTGTCCATGCCGAGTATCCACATGAATGAGTAGCTGATGGGCGGCGGAGGGCCCTGAGGGTTGGGCACCCGCACCACCTGCGGCGTGTGCCGGTTGGACCTGCGCCAGAACCGGCCCGCCAGACGCATGTGGCCCTCCGTACTGCCGAAGATGGTAACCCCTGATCTCCGCTGAGCGAAATTCATGGTCAGCCAGATGCGATCAGGCCGATAGATAGATGACGGACGATAGATGGGAAGATCCAGGGCAGGGGCAGATTGATGGTGATGAGAGGCAAAGAAAGAGGGAGTCTTCAGCGGCTCAGATGTTGGAGGTGTGCAGGAACCTTCAGGGTTACAGGGTAAGAAACCCTTGCCTTCCTCCCCGAGTGTGAGCGTATGATGCATCGATGCCTCATCCCCTCTCTGTTTATTGGCGTGCCCTCCGGGAGTCCAATCCTCTCGTCCAATGCATCACCAACAGGGTATCGGTGCAGCGGGTGGCTGACTTCCTCCTCGCGTGCGGCGCATCGCCCGCAATGGTCGAGAACCCTTATGAGGTCAGACACACACGTGGATGGGTGGAAAATGGGTGGGCGAGGGCATGGATGCATCACATCCGTTCCATCCATCGGTATCCATTCCATCCCCTGTGGCTGTGCTCCTCCTTGCGTGTGCAGATCCCGCAGTTCGCGCGTCTTGCGCAGGCCCTGTACTTCAACACGGGCCTGCACATGTCCCAGATCCAGGCCATCGACGCCGTCATAGACTACCGCCGGTCAGCAGACGTGCCGCAGCCCTTCTTCATCGTAGACCCTGTGGCGGTGGGGGCGACCGAGTACCGGACCGACCAGATCCAGTACCTCATTGAGCAGGGCCGCCCCGATCTCATCAAAGGCAACGCCAGCGAGATCATGACACTGGCCGGCAGGGCGGGAGGCGGCAAGGGCGTCGACAGCTCGCCGAAGGGGGCGGAGGAGAGCGTCGAGGCCGCAAGGGTCGTGGCTGACAAGTATGACTGTGTGGTGGCCATCACGGGAGGGGTCGACGTTGTGGCTGACAAGCCGAGTGTCAGCCAGAGGGTCGGCAGGGTCAGCCAAGACGTCAAGATGCTCACCAAGATCACTGGATCAGGTGCCTACCTAGATGGACCATCAACACAAAGACAGCCAGCGATTGTGTCGTCTTCACCCATGTTTCTGTCTGCCTGTGTGTCTGTGCGTCTGTGCGTCTGTGTGTGCACTCCAGGGTGCGCAGTGGGTGCCGTCTGCGCAGCTGCTCTGACGTCGAGCAAAGGCGACCCCTTCCTGGCCACCGTGACGGCCCTCGCCGCCGTCAAGCAGGCAGCACGGGAGGCGCGGCACGTGGCCGAGGGCCCCGGGACGCTGGGAGTGGCCATACTCGACAAGCTATATCGCCTCTCCCTCTCACCCGACTCCCTCGACTGCACAACTGTGACGATTGACGACCCTGCTGCTGCTGCTGCTGCTGAGGCTGAGGCTGAGGCAGCCCAGCAGGAGAGCGACCCAGTGGAGCCGGCTGATGAGAACGATAAGACCGGTGGACAGGGAGAGGGAGAGAGCCCGGGAAAAAGCAAGGAAAATGGTCAGAAGGCGTGAAGGCGTGACTGATCGTGGGCGAGTGAGTGTTGTGTGTAGGTAAGTATCTATGTGTGTGTTGCGTGGGAAGGCGCGAAGGCCTGCCTGCTGGATGATCATGGACAGACATCGACATCGATGATGGATGTTTTGCTCCGTGTGTGTGTGAGTTGACGAGCCCCGTGTACGGCCTTTTCTCGTTGGTGTCGTGTCAAGTGAGAGGTGAGATGAGGATGTTTTCTAGGGAGGTGTGGAATATACTTATTTGTCGACACTATGGGGAGGCTCTTCTCCTTCCGCTTTGCTCATGAATGATCTGCTTTATGGATTTCAACGGTGAAGATGCATGCATTGGACGCACAACGTTTCATAAAAGGGGCTTATACTGACAACAGACACATCAGGAAAGTAAATCGATCCAATGCGCACTTGAGGCAGGCAGGGACGGGCCAGAAAAAGTCGGTCTACCTACCACACACCAGCTACGCATGAAAGCACGCTATCCTCTTTCCCTCCCAGCTTGTGCGATGATATGAGCGATGCCGTACATCCCTCTGGCGAATCCAACAGATGGACGACAGGGAGTGTTTATTCGCCATAAACATCAGGACGTCAATGGACGAGTACGACATTGCGATTGCAGGGCAGACATTGCGATTCGTTCTGTGTGCCACCGATAGAGAGGAGACACGGAAGACACACAGAACCATGACAAATGCACATATATGGCAAACAGACCGTGACCCCACTCAATCAACCCACAGCACCAGCAGCCACCCGCTGACAGATGCAGCCAGCGGCCACACGGACACGAAACTCTAACAGGGACAGGTACGACAGCATGAGCATCGGATCGGAAGCCATCCCCTCCCTGGCCGTCGCAGCGACGCCAAGAAAAGGCGACAGACGCGAGGCCCGACAGATACATAAAAGTCAGATAGACTTTTATGTATCATAATCCGTTATCGAAGTATAAGAACGAGGTTTGTATGTATACGTCGAGAAGAATAAATAAATAAACGAAAAAGAAGCCAAGATGGCCAAACCGTACCTGTGGTCCGCTGTTAGGTGTCCAAAGGTTTGAGAACGAGGATATCCCGCTTGCCAGTAAGGGCGTTCCACAACGACTGTACCACAGTGGTGGTAAAGTCATCATCTCTTCCCCAGCCGATGTCATACCGCCCCTCCAGCCCCTCGATGGTGTCGCCATGAGTCCGATCCTCTATCAGCCGTGCGAAGGCATCGAACGGCTTCTGCCGGAAAGTAAGCTGCTTGATGCCTCGGATCTTGAGCAGCGACTTGACACACGCAATGCCGAACTCACCAGCGGCATCGCCATCGCCCAACTCCTCAGGCACTGCACACACACGCAAGCAGCAGTCACCGCAACAATCGACAGGTAGAAAACAGCTGGTGAAGGCGATTGGTTGCTGCTCACCTTCTATACTAATATTCACTTTTGCGATGGTCGGCAGCTGGTCGGCTATGTCGCCCCACGTCAGCCCGCCCTCGCCCACGCCCTTCACCCTTCTGGCCTCGAAGTGCTCTAAGTGTCTGTCCCCGCCCACCGCCTGCAGCACCCCCACCGCCTCCGCCTCTGTCGGGTGCGTCCACCAAAGGTCAATTCGTTTGACCGCCGGCATCTTGGTCACCAGCCTGCGCGCGATGGCGAGGCCGGGGGGGAAGACCTCCAGGGACGACGCGGCGGGGAATGCGTTGTCGGGTATGCTGTCGAGCACAATCGGGTCAGGCTGCACTTCCTCCTCGGCGAACTCCAGATGGTCTACCACCCTCACGCTCGTCGCCTCGGGGAAGGTCAGGGATCGTGCGAGGGCGATGGCAGCGCGGCTGGGCGTGTCGAGAGGGGTGGTGAGATGGTGGGGGCGTATGCCGAAAGACGCCGAGAGGGCTTTTGCGGCGCCTTGTTGGATGTGCTTCTGCACGAAGGGGGAGGGCTCCGGGCGCGTGGGCACGTCGCACAGGAGCGACAGGTCGAAGTCTTCGATGTTGATCGAGATGTCGAGGATTTCAAGGCTCTCACACACGGTGCGTGTGAAGGCCTCGATGGTCTGCAGGGTCTCGAAGATGCGACTGTCGGTGTACCAGTCCCTGAGCTGAGCACTGAACTTCTTTATAGAGCGGCAGCCACGGTCGACGAGAACGGCCTACACGCAGACACACGCAACTCACAAGCAGGCTCTCGCCCACCCTCTCTGATCATGTGTATCTTGTGTGGTTCATCGCATACCTGAAGGCGCTCCAGCCCCTCAGCGCTTCGACTCAACATGCTGAGCGTCCCGATGTCCTCGAGCTGTGACAGCGGCCCCGGCTGGCCGGCCTCGGCCACAGGGACACACCTCAGCTCCTCAGCCATTGCCATTACGTCAGGAGTGAATTCCACCTGCAGCTCCTTAAGGCGCCGCGACGTCGCCACCAGCTTTCCCAGGACCTCTTCGCAATCCACCGTCTGCACCGTCTCGAGTGACGGCAGCTGCCAGTGCCGCCCGCGGCCGGGATACACCTCGTTTAAGGCCAAGCCTGTGACGGATGTGAGGGATGTGAGGGTAAGGGGCGGGTCGAGGGGCGGGGGGAGCGCCGTCGCCAGCTGTTCGGCAGCTCTGATCTCGCGACCCTCGGCCTCGTCGACGACTATGATCGATCCGCCATTGCTGTACTCGATCGACTCCAACGTCCCCCCCGCTGGCTCAGTTTGCCCTGCTGCTGCCGCCGTAGCTCTGGGTGCATCGCTGTGCCCCTCCACCAATGCCGTGACGATCTTGTCGATCACCCGCGGCAGAGTGCGATAGTCAGGAGCTCGTCGCACTAGAATGTCCACGAGCATCCTTTCCAGCCACTGGGATACCCTCTCTGCAAGCGGGGCATATGCGACGCGGAGACCATTGGGATACCGGACGACAATAGACTTGAGCCGTGTGAGCCGCCGGCCCCACTCGAAGGCCTCAGCGAATGACAGGCCGCACCAGAAGCGCCGCTCGGCCGCGTCGTGGGTGTCCATGACCAGCTGGGTGATCTGGCAGCCGACGTGGCGCCACAGCCGCTGGGGCAGCGCCGCCACCAAATGAAGCGACACAAACGAAAAGACGTAGGCGACGACAACAGGCTGAATGAGCAGATGACACACACAGAGAGGACACAATGAAGATGTGTGCTTGTCAGTGTTTCGTTTGGTGGATCCACTTACAATCTGGCCGAAGTGATGAGCAAAGGCCTCCAAATCTATGCTGTGCGATGCCGTGGCCTGCTGCTGCTGCTGGCCATCTGCGTCCACCATGGCGTCCTCGTTGCCATGCTCCTCTCCCCCAGCCGCCGGCCGCCTCTGCCGCTTTGATGCAGACTCACTCATCGCCCTCCACACACAGTGCTGGGATAGACCGACGACAGATTCTGAATCACAAACGATTCTCTTAGTGTGACTGGTGAATCCCCGCCGCGCCCAATCGCCAAGCGCCGGGAGGAAGTCGACGTAGAGCAAACCGTCAAACGGACGGATGTGATTGTGAACATGTGGACGTGCACATAAATAAAGGTGGTGTGACTCTTGACAGGTCCGGGCATGCTCTCACGGCATGTGTGTGTGAATGGGATGGATGGACGATGGGGGACCGGCACGCACACGTGAATTCAGACAGACAGACAGACAGACAGACGAGTGACGACAGGTCCACAGACGCAACCAACACACAAGCGTGTCCCAGTGTGACCGCCATTTGATCATCCTCTACGGACGACGAACCAGTAATGAAATACCGACACCACACACATACACACATACACTCTCAGACAGACGCGCAGACAGACCAACGCGCATACCCCCCTGCCCACCAACCTTGGCGATGAAAACCCACCAAGAGACAGCCGCTTGCAGCCACACGGCGACTGGCTTGACTAAATGTACCGACACCACACCACACACCGACACCACACCATTATACCACGGCACTTCATGGTCAGGCGGCGTCTCGCCGCTGATCTTCTCCACTCCCTCGCAGAAAGGCAGACCGGCACTCGGCCCGCCTGCAGCTGTCGACAACAGGCCGACAGGTGCAGGCCGGCGTTTGTTGTGACGGCTGGCAAAACCTTTCTGCCATGTTTGTCATACACCCGGCCCGGCAACCAGCTTTCGTCAAATAACAAATGCCACGTGACTTGACCGACATGACGTAAGCCCGTGCACACCCAAACATGAAAGGCTACACTTACCAGCCAACACGCATAGCATAAACCAAGCCACATCTCTCCCGGTTCTTGCTTCTCTAAAAGAGAGAGGACACTTAGCGGCTTGAAAAAGTGTCCCGATTGGATGGATACGCAGAGGTAGACAGAGATAGTAGACAGTAGACGAAAGACAGACACACAGACAGACAAACAGTGGAGACGAGACAGAGAGGGACGAGACAGAGAGGGACGAAAGAGAGAGAGAGAGAGAGAGAGGTTTAGGCCAGGAGGAACCAGCCGAGAACCAGCAGCACCAGCCCGCCCCACACACTGCCCCCCAGCCCAACACTCCCCGACACGAACTCCTCCTCAACGACATCGCCGACACCATCCACGAGCGGCGCCTCCGCCCTTGACACGGCGAATGTGTAGGCCCTCTCCTTGTGCCTGAGCGTCTCCCGCTTTTCGCCCAGCTGCACGCTCGCATATCTGCCCAGCATCATGACGGTGGCCATGGGGTTGACGCGCGTCACGGCGGGGATGACCGATGCGTCCACCACGTGCACGTTGGACGTGCCGGTGAGGAGGAAGTCGTCGCTTTCGATGAGGGTGCCCATCGAGACCGTCCCGCAGTAGTGCCATATCGAGATGTACAGCGGGTCGGCCACCGACTGGAAGATGGCCTCGAGGGTCTCGGGCGAGTCGTCGGTGTCCAGCATGGATGCGTTGATGCCGCGGGGGAACAGCTGCAGATCCGCATCGGCCGGCGCGTACTTGGACGGGGGGAAGATCAACCCCTGGAGAGGTGAAGAGAGCACGCCATCCATGAGTCACATGGCTGCAGAGTGGGCTGTCTGGTGAGGTGTGCGTACCATGGCGGATGAGACGAGTCCCGAGGTGAGGAGGTCTGAGGCGAAGCATGACTCCTCCCCGTTGGCAGTGATGGAGCGCATGTCATCAGACGACAAGAGCTTGACGATCTCTGCAGCAACCGAACCACGTACACACCATGTGTGCCTAGTGCTCCAGCCATCACGTGAGTGGATGTCTATGTACCTTTGATGGAGAGTGCGGCGGCCTGTCTGTCCATCGGGTGGTCGAAGTACTTGGGGTCCACCACCACCGACCCATCCGCAGTCAGCGACACACTCCCGCGGGACAGCGGGTCCGTCACCCACGACAGCAACGAGCCCCCCTGACGCGCGCAGTTGGCCAGGTCGGCCTGCTGGTCACTGCACACGGCCGGCGCCTCCACCTCAGCTGCGTCGGTGTCTGTGTCGACTTCCTCGTCCTTGAGTGCGATGTCGAAGTTGTGTGCGCACTCCCAGAAGCCCTCGAGCAAGCTGAAGGCTCTGCGACTGACCTTGCCCTGAGCCGCACCCTTAGCGGCGGTCAGGGCCATGCCCGTCGTGATGCCGTAACCCTGAGACAACTCATCCTGCAACACACAGAGGCAGAAGACGAAATGAGAGATTGAGGAAATCTCTCTCTTCTCTCTGTCTCTGTCTCTGTCTCTGTGTGTGTGTGCTTACGATGAGTATGAAGTGGCACTGTTCGTTTGGCGAGGGGTTCTCGGCGTCGCAGCCTGGTCCGGCGTAGCGAGTGGCCATGATAGACTGAATTGTCACGGGACCAGGGGCGTTCAGACCCACACCGATGGGCGTCTGCACCAGCCACACACACACATACACACACACATGGACAATCCACACATGCGATGAGAGCGTGTCTTGGTAGGTGGCGTACCTGAGGGTGGTCGTGCAGGTCTTTGCCGACGTTGGGCATGTCCTTGACCACATCGATGCCGGCCGCCTCGAGCATCTCCCGCGGGCCCAGCCCCGAGCGCATGAGGATCGCCGGCGTGTGGATGGCACCCGCAGACAGGATGATGCGGCCCCCATCCCTCACGCACACGCGACGCCTCGACCGCTCCCTGCCCTCCGTATCAGTCAGCTTGTCGTACACCACACACGTGGCTGTCAGCTTGGCGCCGTCGGCCGACTCCTCGTCGAATTCGAGATGCTGCACCTCTGAGAGCACTTGAAGGGTGACCGTCGACCCCTCGAGCAGCTCGTCAGCGGCGTGACGTTTGTCGGTGTCGGCGTCGAAGATGGAGTAGGTGCGCCACACCATGGCGTTGTCATAGGCCACTTGTGGTGTGCCCTCGTCGCCCGCCCACTCATAGCCTTCGGCCTCGAGGGATGCGCGGAGGGCGGTGTTCCACTGGCCGTCCTGCGAGGATGGCTTCACGATGCCCGAGTCGCGCAGCCAGTCGAAGCTCTCGTCGATGAGGGTCCGGTTGAGAGTGACGCCGTATAGCCTCTCTAGGTCGTCGAAGTAGCCGGTGCCCTCCTCGATGTACACGCCGGCGTTGATGGCTGTGCCGCCTCCCGTCACCCGCCCGATGTGACCCACGACGCCCTGGGCGGTCTCGAACTGCTCAGATATGACGGGGTTGAGCATCGCCGTCTGCCCGCCCCTCTTGGTCAAGGCCTCTGGGAACTTCTGACGGTCGTCGCCACGCTCGAGCAGCAGCACCTCTTCACCATAATCGGCCAGAGTGCGCGCCAGGGGGCCTGCAGACGAAAACAGAGGGGCAACAGACGAAAACGAGATTATGGTGAGAACATTCTCTCTCTCTCTCTCTCTCTCTCTGTGTGTGTGTGTGTGTGTGCGCGCGTGTGTGCTTACAGCCGGCAGCACCCGCGCCCACTATGATCGTGTCATACACCTTCTCGTCGGTCTCGGGCGACGATGACACACCTGAACGATGGACAACACAGACGACAGACACCACCATGCCATGCAGACACGGGGTGCTCCCAACAGCAGCGCTCCGTGTGTTCGGCATACCATTGGTCGTCTTCTGTGCAGAGGCGGGTGAGAGGATCAGACTCAGCAGCAAAATAGAGACGGCTGCTCGCATCATCCTGTTGATTGACTCAGGTGGCTGAATGAATGAACGACAAGCTGGGAAGAGCCGCTGGAATGAGGCTGTTGCGATGGGAAGAGGGGGAAGATGCGATGCAGGCTGCGATTGGGGGTGGCTGAGGGCAGTGTGCGAAGGACTGCTGTGGCGTTGGGCGACAGGGGCGGATCCGACAGGAGAGGAGAAGTGAGAGATCGCTCGATTCGCTCCAGCTCACAGGCGGTGCGATGAGAGATCTATCTGCGCACCTACTTGCAAAGCTCACGGGCCATAGAGAAGGCGGATCTGTTCCGGACGCCACTGCGAGCTCAGAGCCTTCCCGAGGGATTCAAGAGGGGAGAAAAACGATTCAGGAGCGCGTTGGAGGTATGGGACCCATCACACCCGCTTCATTACAAACGAGATAGAGCCGTATACATTGAATGCATTTGCTGTACTTCATGTTTGTGGAGTGCAGCCCAATTGGTGCAGCCATGGATGCTGACGATGCCGGCCCGGCCCGCCCATTTGGTAGAAGACCAGTAGAAGATTGACCGAGTTGGTGTTTAGCGATGAGTGAGTCGGCATCAAAGCGGCAGAGGCGGGCGGCCGAGGGAGAGGAGCATGGCAACGAGGAAGCCATGGTGGACGCAGATGGCCAACACCAGCAACACCAGCAGCACCAGCAGGCCACGCCATCGTACAGCATAGATTTGGAGGCCTTTGCTCATCACTTCGGCCAGATTGTAAGTGGATCCACCAAACGAACCACTGACAAGCACACAGTGTCACATCTTCATTGTCGCCTCTCTGTCTGTGTGGTGTGTGTTGTCCACTCAGCCTGTTGTTGTCGCCTACGTCTTCTCGTTCGTGTCGCTTCATTTGGTGGCGGCGCTGCCCCAGCGGCTGTGGCGCCACGTCGGCTGCCAGATCACCCAGCTGGTCATGGACACCTACGACACGGCCGAGCGGCGCTTTTGGTGCGGCCTGTCATTCGCTGACGCCTTCGAGTGGGGGCGGAAGCTCACACGGCTCAGATCCATTATGGCGAGATACCCCAGTCACCGCGCCATCCCAACTGCCGTCCGGCACGTCCGGTATCCCAGTGGCCTCCCGCATCTTTAGCGACATCCCTCTTATTCCTCCTGAATGCTTGATGAATAAACTGGGTTCCTTGGTGCCGATGGTGGTAGAGGGGCATTGTGAGGGGCAGAGGGCCGCGGCGGCGGCAGCGGGGCAGCCGGCGGGGAGCACACTCGAGTCCATCGAGTACAGCGAGTTTGACTCGGTCATGGCCATCGATGACGACGAGATGCGAGAGCTCCAGCGCATCAGCCTGAAGAGGGAATCCCGTCCCCCTCCCCTCGACCCGCCCCCCACCCTCGCATCCCTGACATCCATCACCGGCATCCCCTGGGAGGACACGGGGGACCCGGGACCCATACAGCCAGTCATCCCCGGCCGCGGGCGTAACTGGCGGCTGCCGTCACTCGAGAAAGTCCAGACAGAGTGGACGGTGGCAGGGGGGGAGCTGGGGGACCTGGTGTGGGCGTCGCGAAGCCTCAAGGAGCTGCAGGTGAAATCCTATCCCGACAGCATGGCGGACTCGCTGAGGCGCATCCCGGTGGCAGCTGCTGGCCAGCCGGGGCCGCTGTTACAGCTGGAGGACATCGGCACGCTCAGCTTTGAGGGAATGGATTGGCCTATATATGTTACCTTCGATGAGTGGCGGGAGGGCCTCGAGGCCCTTCAGGTACACGCCACGCACAAAGCATTCACCGCTTCTTACGTTTGTTGTTTCTGCAGACCGTCCTTTTTAAGAGGGGATGTCGATCCATCAAGCAGTTCAACGCCATCATCGACCTGGGGGGTCATCCCGATGGCATCGACAGCGACATCTTCCCCACCTTGTCGGCTATCGAGGCCTTCATAGACACCGTGTGTGTGAGCCCCGACATCCCCGTCGACATCAATATCAGCGGCTCCTTCGACCTCGGCCTCCTGTGTAACGTGCCCACGCGCCAGTCCCTCTTCGTCCAGAAACACATTCCGCAGATAGCCGCCACATCAGAGAGTGCCCACTTCCTCATCTATCCCGAGGACCTCACCAACCCCGGGTACCTCGACACACCCAGCCCCGCTGACAACGCCCTCGCAGGGTGCCTGACCTTCCCCAAGGCGAAGGATGTGGTGGTCAGTCACAACAACGATGTGGAGGACGCCGAGGAGATCGAAGTGCAGCCCGATCCGGTGGTGCTCGAGCGCTTGCCCCACAACGCATTCCCCGCCGCATCGCGCCTTCATATCAAAAGTCGCAATGGGCACGCGATTGCCCGAAGGCTGGTGACCAAGATGCCGGCGGTCAAACGCATCGACCTCTCCCGGACGCACCCGACAGAGGAGGATGCGGTGAGGGTGCTGCAGGCGGTGGGCGGCGAGAGGGACCTGGAGAAATTTGAGGCCGGCTTCGTGAAGGGTGTGGGCGAGGGGGGGCTGACGTGGGGGGACATAGCGGACCAGCTGCCGACCATCGCAGAAGTGGATATCAGTGTAGAAGGTGAGCAGCAACCAATCGCCTTCATCGGCCCTTTCTACCTCCTGACTGTTGTGGTGACTGCTGCTTGCGTGTGTGTGCAGTGCCTGAGGAGTTGGGCGATGGCGATGCCGCTGGTGAGTTCGGCATTGCGTGTGTCAAGTCGCTGCTCAAGATCCGAGGCATCAAGCAGCTCACCTTCCGGTTCGCGCCGGGGCAAGCCGGAGGAGATAGCTTCAAGCGGCTGGTGGAGGGGCGGACACACGGCACCACCATTGAGCGGCTGGAGGGGCGGTACGATATTAGCTGGGGGGGCCTTGGTGAGGAGGCTGTCACTCTCAAACCACTAGACACCTGACAGAGGACCACAGGTACGGTTTGGACATCTGTCTGTCTTGAGTGAATGGGCTCTCACGCACTGCATATTTGTCTGTCAGGTCGCCCGCCCCATGTCCATCGGCGAATGATTAGTTGGTTGATGTGTAGCATAAGCTGGCTGCAGACAGAGCAGAGGGAGGGCCCATGAAGAGGGGCTGCCATGATGGAGGCATATTCTCATGCGTGGCTGGTGCGGGATAGACAGACTACTAGAGCATGGTTAGTATCTGCCCGCCTGCCTGCCTGCCTGGTGGGCTTGTACATAGACTTGACAGCCGAACCGAACATTGAAGAAAGCATCGAAAGGTCATTGCGGTGCTATCATACTGTACATCCATCCGTGCCGTGCAGCACATCGTGACGTCTTAATCCCTCCCTCTCGCCTCAGTCAGTTCCTAGCAACCAAAAAAGGGACGGCCACCAGTCATGGTCCAACGCGAAAAACAGACACATCCGGCTTGTAAGAGTCTCTTGCTCGACAGACAAGCACCGTCCTGGCTCCTCCCTGCTCACTGGATAAAGGGCACGAGCTCATTTGATTGATGCACACACAGACGAAACACCTTTTGACTTGCCACACACACACGAAGAGGTGGGCCCATCCCTCACTGGCTATCGGTCCATGACCTCTTACTCAAATCATCTTCCCTCTCCCGCTCCCTCTCAGCAGCACCCTGCTGACCACCACCGTCCCTCCCCCCACCAGCACCACCAGCACCACCAGCACTCGTGGTGCCAGCGGTGCCATTGGTGTCGGTGGTGCCATTGGTCTCCCTCCTGCCGTACACGCGCACCAGCTCCTTCATGATCACATCCCCCGCCTCTCTGGCGGAGCTCGACGTGCCCTGCCCCGCACCACCAGGCGCCCGTTTTGTGGGGCTGGCCACGGCCGGCTGCACGTGGGCCTCTGCTGCTGCAGTCGATGAGGCTGACCCACCAGCTGGCGAGCCGGCAGAGGCGGCATATTGAGATGAGTTTTGCTCTGGGGCGCCGACCATGGTGGCGTAGGGCACTCTGTCCTGGATGGCGAGGTCGATTGCGTCGGGTGAGATGCCTTCGTGCAGCAGCAGGAGGGTGTGGAAGGACTCCTCTGAGAGCCGCTGGGCCACCCAGTAGGAGATGTAGTTGCACAAGATGATCGGCAGGATCAGACTGTAGGCACCTGCCAGACACAAGGCGACAGACACCACACCTTGCCAGCAGACCCTTGTGAGCATTCCGGGGCTCACCTGTGAGGTCGTACATGACGATGATGGCCGTGACGGGCGTCCGCAGCAGGGCCGTCATGAAGCCACCCATCCCGAACAGAAAGCACCCATAGAAGGCCTTCCCGGCCCCGTCGCGCGCTGACCAGACTCCCAGGCCACCCACCATGCCACCCAGCAGCCCGCCCAGCACGATGGACGGATCCACCAGATCGCCAGGGCCCCCCGACGCCTTAGCCGCAACAATGGCCACAAACTTGACCACAAACAGCACCACAAACCACCACGTGGGTTTCTCTCGGCCCTTGGTGAAGGCGTCCCCGAGAACGCGCCTGCCCGACCCCCAGACGCGTCGGGTCTCCATGGTCCTGTATGCGATGCTGCCCATCAGAGTGATGACCACGGTCGCCAGGACCGGATGCAGAAAGCGCGGCACTTTCCGGGTCCACTTGCGAATTCTCTCGACAGTCTCTCCGCCCTGCGCCTTGCCGTCGAGCACCCAGTCAAGGTACAGAACCACTCGGACGAATGCGTGGCCCGCGAGGCCGCACAGGGCGCCGATAGGGATGCACAGCAGCATCCACAAGCGGTAGTCTGATTCGAAGTTCTCGAAGTTTGTCAGCTCCGGGTAGAAGGGGTGGTTGGAACCACCCGTGGCTGTTGACCCCTCTCTGCGCAGCAGGAGCTTCTCCAGGGCGACCGCGGCGAGTGATGCCGCGAGGACGTCAGCCACTCTTGCCTTGAGCCAGTTGTCCATGAGCACCTCCAGCACATACACCAGACCAGCCACGGGAGCGTTGAAGGCGGCGGCAATGCCGCTTGCAGCACCCACAATCATCTGAACAGACAGACAGACAGATTGAGAGAAGTGCCCCATCCGTGTGCTTGTTGTCTGTGTGTTGGAGTGTACCCACGATGACGGCGGGTAGGCGTGTTTGAAGCATTTAGCGAGCACGGCAGCGACGAGGGCACTACTGTACATCTGAGGCGTGATGATGCCCAGCGGATTGCCTGCTCACACCACACAGCACACCATACAGACCAATGATATGATGGATGGACACACACTCAGCCACCCATGACTGAAGTGCACCTGTGCCCACGTAGAAGCCTGTTGTGATGACCCGCATCAAAGCCGCCTGCCGTGCAGGCATCACAAGCAGCAGCAGCAGCAAACACGTGAGCGAACAAATGGGACAGATGCGCCATCGATCTTTGGTGTGTGTGTGGCCATACATGCCCACCTTGAGATGGTAGGGTCCTCCCCTCGCCATGGCCTTCTTGGTGTCAATGACGGCATCCCCGCCGCACTCGGGAGCCAGTGTGTGGATCAGACCCACAGACACCAATGCTGTCAAGGCACACACACGACACACACAGATGACGCGAGTGCATCCACGTCCATATGTCTGTGGTGTGGCAAATCAAGTCAAGTCGGCTGCCTGCGTCCCTTACCTCCCAGTGCGGTCACCGCCAGCATGACGATCTCTTCGGGGACCCACGAGGGCATCGAGGCGCGCAGTGACGTGCCCTCCTTGATGCCCAGCTCCTCTTGGCATCTCTTGGTGTCCCAAAAGTAGCCGATGGAGCATGCCAGGACGTCCATGGCCTCGGCCGTCCCCGAGTGCAGCAAGCCCGTGAGTGCACCGACGCCCAGAGAGAGGACCGTGGCCCAGATGATGCCGCCATAGTACCTCAGACGGGCAGGGCAATACGAAAGCAGCCGACGCCGGCTGCTCGAAGACATCGAGCCAGGGCCTGAATTAGGGTTTAGGGTCACGGATTCCCTGCCCAAACCCTTTACCCCACTGGCGGCTGCTGATGGATCTGCGCGTCGTACACGAGAAACAGGCATCACGATGAGTGAAGAAGCTGCCTGTGCGAAACGGCAGAGGCGGGCAGCCGAGGGAGAGGAAGACGATCATGCACACGAGGAAGCCATGGTGGACGCAGATGGCCAGCAGCAGCAGCAGGCCACGGCATCGCACAGCATAGATCTGGAGACCTTTGCTCATCACTTCGGCCAGATTGTAAGATGCACCAAACGAATCACAGGCAAACACACAAATCTTCATTGTCTCCTCTCTCTCTGTGCGGTGTGTGTTGTCCATTCAGCCTGTTGTCGTCGCCTACGTCTTTTCGTTTCTATCGCTTCATTTCGTGGCGGCGCTGCCCCAGCGGCTGTGGCGCCACGTCGGCTGCCAGATCACCCAGCTGGTCATGGACACCCACGACGCGGCCGAGCGGCGCTTCTGGTGCGGCCTCTCATTCAGTGACGCCTTCGAGTGGGGGCGGAAGCTCACACAGCTCAGATCTATTATCGCGAAGTACCCCCGAGGCCTCCGCATCCCACGTGCTGACAAGCCTACATGGCGTGGTAGGCTGGTCGAGGGCATCCCAGTGTACCCTGGTCTCAGGAAGTGCACTCTGCCGTTGGTGATCGACAATATCGTTACGGCATTGGTGGAGGGGCACAGCGAAGGCCGGAGAGCCGCAGCGGTCACAGCGGGGCAAACTGAGCCGGCGGGGGAGACGTTGGAGTCGATCGAGTACAGCAATGGCGGATCGGTCATAGACGTCGACATCGAGGAGTACCCTAGCATCACAGCTGCCGAAGAGAAAGCGGCGGTCCGCCCCCCTCCCCTCGACCCGCCGCCCATCCTCACATCCCTCACATCCATCACCGGCATGACCGGCCTGACGACCCTCATATCCGTCACCATGCCTTGACGGCCGGAAGACAGGACTCTGTGTTTCGGTCGCGAGCGGCACTGGCGCCTCCCGGCCCTCGAGAAAGTGCAGATGGACGGGACGGTGGAGAGTCGCAGAGAGGACGATGGAGAGGTGCTGAGGCAGTGGGTGAGGACGTCACGGTGTCTGAGGGAGCTGGATGTAATCCTGCTGCCTGGAGACTTAGCTAGTGTATTGGCGGAGGTGTCGGGGCCGCTGTCACAGCTGGAGGACATCGGCCTACTCACCATTGAAGCTGAGGAATGGTGGGACAGAATCACCATTGATGAGTGGCTGGAGGGACTCGAGCGCCTTCAGGTGTGTCACGAGTCACACAAACCCGCAAGAGCGGCAGGGTGCCCAGACGTTGTGTGTGTCTTCCTGCAGACCGTCCTTGCCGACCTTGGATGTCGATCCATCAAGAAATTCAGTGCTGAGCTCACGGAAAGGGGCGCAGCGCCCATCGACAGCCGCATTGTCCTCGCCCTGTCGGCTATCGAGGCCTTCACATGTGCCGTGTGTGTGAGCCCCGACATCCCCGTCGACATCAAGACCGACGAGCACTTCGACTTCGACCTGTCGCTGCTCTGCGGCACCACGGCCCCTTCCCACTTCGTGCAGACACACATTCAGCAGCTAGCAGTCAAAGCCTCCGAGGCATCCTTCGTCGTCCGTCCCCAGCATCTCACCACCCCTCTCGACACACCCAGCCCCGCTGCCATCGCCCTCGCACAGCGCCTGACCTTCTCAAAGGCGACGAGCGTGGCGGTGAGGGACCAGGACGAATGGGAGCCCGACGATGACGGAAGTCGAGCAGCCGGACCCACTTGTGCTCGACAGCATGCCACAAAACGCATTCCCCGCTGTATCACTTCTCCTGAGCCACAGCGAAATGGGGCTCGCGATTGCCCGAAGGCTGGTGACCAAGATGCCGGCGGTCAAACGCATCGACCTCTCCCAGACGCACCCGACAGAGGCCGAGGCGGTGGGGGTGCTGCAGGCGGTGGGCGGCGAGAGAGACCTGGAGAAATTCGAGGCGTCGTGCGTGAACGGTGTGGGCGAGGGGGGGCTGACGTGGGGCGACATAGCGGATCAGCTGCCGACCATCGCAGAAGTGGATGTAACTGTAGTAGGTGAGCAGCAACCAATCGCCTTCATCAGCTGTTTTCTACCTGTCGATTGTTGCGGTGACTGCTGCTTGCGTGTGTGTGCAGTGCCTGAGGAGTTGGGCGATGGCGATGCCGCTGGTGAGTTCGGCATTGCGTGTGTCAAGTCGCTGCTCAAGATCCGAGGCATCAAGCAGCTTACTTTCCGGCAGAAGCCGTCCTATGCCTTCGAGCGGCTGGTGGATGAGCGCACCAATGGCGATGGCAACAGCATAGAGGGCATCCCTGGGCAGTTTCACATCGACAAGACCGATTGGGGGGCCCGGGACGCGCGGACGGGGGACCGCGGTACCCTCACTCTAAAACCACTGGACGCCTGACAGAAGACTTACTTATCACAGGTATGCATACTTGCCAGTGATGTGTTGTGTGCTGTGTGCTGAATTCTCATGTATGTCTGTCAGATCGGCCGCCTTGCGTGTGCAGGGGCGGGTCGGGTGGACTGATTAAGAATGATACGTGAATGCCGTTCTTTCTGCCTGCCTGCCTGGCTGCTGTACTTGCCACTCGGCTTGAGGGCGAACGGCGCTTGACGGTCTTGCGTGAATCAGCTCAGCCAATGCTGCTCTACATTACATGTGCGCCTGTGCTTTTCTGTGTGGGTGCGAGGGCGAGCGGTGGCTAGTCGCTGCTGCTGGGCTGGTGTGGATTGGGAGCAGCCTCCCCGCCGTCTCTTCTAGCAAGTGCATGGGGGACAGCGGTTATTTGAGTGTGTGACTTTGGACGTGCTGCGTGCACTACAGTGGCGGACGTCGATTGATGAAACTAAACCACCACCATTAAACGCAGACCGACCAAGTGTGTCCAAAGCAGGCAGGCACGAACCCATCCATCCATCCATCTGTCCATCCATGCGTCACACGACTCACAACGGCATGGCATGCTGGTCAGAGTGTCATTCAATCGCATTCAATCGCACTCGTTGATCCTTCCATCCATTCTCGCGAACAAATAGATGGCACCAGCCCGCTTCTTCGCCACGCTTCCCGCTGGCACTCCTGGTCGGTTCGAGCAGCCATGGCTGACGATGTCACGATGAAACCACAGCCAGTCCATCGTGATGACGTCAACGAGGACCGCACGAACAAGCCAGGAGCGACATGATCGACAAGACAGCCAGCATAGCAGATGTCAAGATGGCCAAATAGTCGCCATCCATCTCTCACACTCATCACACCCTCTGACAGACTCTCTGCCTCTGTCTCCTACTTCTCTCTGGATCATCGGCCCCTTGCCATGGCCGCCAGCAACGCACACTGGAGGCTAGCTGCGAATCACGTCTTGATGGTTCGCAACTTGCCTCCGGTATGGCGGTGGCAGCCATGGGGAAGCGTCAATGGTGAGGAGAGAGCATTATATTGACAGAGCAGCACCAGTTCCACAAACGGCAGATCCATCCCTCTCACTCCATTCCACGGCGTGCAGTGCATCGTCTTACTGATTGATTGGTGCAGGCAGGCAGGCAGATAGGCATGTGCGTGGAATTGTCTCTCTGCTGCGTATGAGTGTATGTGTGTGTAAAGTCTGCTCCACTCCCCTGCCAACTGCGCTGGCCAGGGGAGGCGGACATGTGCTTAAGAGAAGAGTGACAGCAGGCAACACACACACAGGCATCCACACACGCACCAGTCAGTGTCATGATGTATGTGAAATGGGGCCGGCCCTGTGAGCCTACGACCAAAATTGCAGGTACTGTGCCTCAACTACCAGGCACGCACCATCACTTCACTCCGCCCCAGACACCACACAAACACGCACACATACATACATGCAATGGTTGAAAAAACCGCACCAGCTGCTCGCCCCAGCACCACCCCGCCCCACCCCGGCAGCCACATCGATAAACGCACACATCACTGAGGAGACTCACTCATCAATGCACGCACACGCGACAGACGGACGGACGGACGGGCAGGCAGGCAGGCAGGCAGGCAGTCGGCCATCCATCGATCAATCAGCTCAGAGCTCCGGGTTGCCGGGGAACTGGAACTTGGTGGCCCACTCCTCGACGTCCTTCTTGAGGTCGTTGATCTTGGCGTTGCCAGGGATGCCCTTGACGAAGTCGTTGAGCTTCTTGCCGTGCGACTGCTGGATCTCCAGGCAGATCTGCACCGCCCGGTGGAGGAACTCGCCCACCTGCCGGAAGTCGGCCTCCTTGCACCCGCGGGTCGTCATGGCGGGGGTGCCCACGCGCACGCCGCCCGGCGACATGGCCGACGCGTCGCCGAACACGGCGTTCTTGTTGAGAGTGATGTGCACCGCATCGCACACCTGAGAGGGAGGGGGCAATGGAGAGATGGATGAGCAGAGGGTCTCTGGTGGCTTCCTGACTGACAGGGGTAGGTACCTTTTCGACTTTGGATCCGGTGAGTGCGAGGGGCCTGACGTCCCAGAGGACCAGGTGGTTGTCGCTGCCGTCCGTCACCAACTTGTAACCCTTGCCCATCAACACCTCGGCCAACGCCTTCGTGTTTGACACAACCTGATACGACGCATACACACACACATTCGTGTGTCTGCCTCCTCTCCCTGCTCCCCACGTGTGTGTGGTCTCACCTGTCTGGCGTATTCTGCGAACTCGGGCGTGGCGACCTCCTTGAGTTGCGTGGCGAGCCCGGCGATCTGGTGGTTGTGCGGGCCGCCCTGCAGGCTGGGGAACACGCTGAAGTTGACCTTCTCCTCGACGTCGGGCACACGCTTCTTGTTGAAGAAGATCATGCCCGCCCGCGGCCCCCTGAGGGACTTGTGTGTGGTGGTGGTGACGATGTCGGCGTACGGAAAGGGCGACATGTGCACCTTGGCGGCCACCAGGCCGCTGATGTGGGCGATGTCCACCAGCAGGTAGCAGCCGACCTCGTCGCAGATCTCGCGGAACTTGCTGAAGTCGATCTCGCGGGGATACGCAGACGCACCCGTGATGATCATCTGCATCCCATCCACCACACACACACATACGACGCATCGTCATCCCTCTCTCCCTCTCTCCTCCTCTCGTGTGCTGTGTGACCTTGGGCCTGAAGAGCTTGGCCCTCTTGAGGAGGTCGTCGAAGTCGAGCCATCCGGTCTGGGGGTTGACCTGGTAGGGGAGGCTCTCGAAGTAGATGGACGTGGCGCTGATCTTCTTCTTGGCCGTGTAGAAGCCGTGCGTCAGGTGGCCGCCAGACGGCAGATCCAAACCCATGATGCGGTCGTGCGGGTGCAGCAACGCCGTGTACGCAGCGAAGTTCGCCGGCGAACCTGTTGCATCACACGCAGGGGACAGCCACCACACACGTGTGTGGATGGCTGGAATGTCAAGGGAGCTGTTGCGTACCGGAGTATGGCTGCACGTTGACTCCCCACTCCTCTGGGTCGAGGCCGAAGGCGTGGAGCGCACGACGCTGACACAACACCTCAATCTGTCACACACACAGAGGACACACACAAGCACCCGACAGAGGCCGCCCCATGGTGGATCTGCATGCCACGATTCGCTCGATGCATCCCCCTACCCACACCCACCGCACCCACCTGGTCGATGAACTCGTTGCCACCGTAGTACCTTGCGCCGGGCAGCCCCTCCGAGTACTTGTTGGTGAGGCATGACCCCAGGCACTCCATGACGGCGCGGGAGGTGAAGTTCTCGGATGCGATGAGCTCGATGCCCCGCACCTGGCGGTCCCTCTCACTCTTGATGAGGTCAAACATCTCCTTGTCCACCTGCTGAAGCGACTTCTGACCTTCCATGGCTGCTACGAACGATGTGTGGGGCAATCAAGGAAACGGTAGATGGAGGCAGAGCTGACACACAGAGGGGTCCTTTCCTGAGGTGTTTTTTGCGAGACAGCGAGCTTTTTTTTACCCCCCGGTGACGCCTGTGAAACACAGGGGGATGAAATAGGCAGAAATAATGGCACCACCGAAAGCCAGCCCGACGAGCACCCCCTTCTCCCCTCCCATGCGGGACGATGCGCATTTCACATATGCATATCCTGATGTCCTTGGTTCTGCTGGTGTCACGGAGTGTGGCGACACCACTTGCACCGTCTTTCTTGCACCGGCCGGACGCACAAGACCGACCGCAGAGCTCCGGCCGCATTCTGGTCGGCGGTGAACAAGACAAGGAGCATTTTGAAGAGGAGGAGCCATTGGGGGACTTTCTACTTGAGGGAGGAGAAGACAGCCGGCCGGCGTATGATGTGGGAAAGGGCTCAGTGGCGTTCGACTTCGACGCGGACGACGACGACCGATTCGTTGCCTCAGGTGGGAAGCGGAGCTTGATGCGAATCCGTCTATGGCTGGCTGCACACGGATTTTTTCATTGCTGCAGAGCGTGACGTCCGTGAGTACGAGGAGGTGTTGCGCCGGTCGTTCCTCTTTTTCAGCGCCCAGCAGCTGGGGCGGCTGGGCAAGGACCATCCCATCAAGTGGCGGGGCGACGCCGCCCTTCTCGATGGCCTCAAAGACAACAGTAAGTGGCCGACGGGCAGACAGAACGTTAACGGCCACATGTCAGTCAATTGTGCTCTCTTTAGCGCACGAGCCAGAGGGCCGCGACCTGGTGGGCGGCTATGCCGATGCAGCCGACCACACGAAGTGGAACTTCAACCAGGCGTACGCCATGACGATGCTCTCGTGGATGGCCGTCGACTTCAGGCCGCTGCTGCAGCGGCTGAAGCTGTGGAACACCATGCTGGAGACCGCTCGGTGGGGCCTGGAGTACCTGGCCAAGTGCCACATCGAGCCGAATGTCATGTACGCCGGCGTGGGCATTGCAGACGAGGAGTGGTTCTGGTGGGGCAGGTGAGGCGGGTCAAGGAAGGGGCACACACGTCACAGAGAGAGACGAGTCAAATGGGAGGACCGCGGTCGCTTGTATGTGTGCATCGCATCAGGCCTGAGGACATACACACGGATGGGTACTATCGGCCTTCCTGGGTCATCAACGAAACACACCCAGGCAGCGACTTGGCTGGTGAGGAAATGCAATGCAATGCACCAAACGCACTCAACAAACAGTTTCTCCGGGCTACCCTTCCTTGTGCTGCTGCAGGTGAGTCAGCAGCGGCTTTTGCGGCGTGCTCGATGGCCTTCAGGGCGTCTGACGACGAGTTGGCTGACATCTGCCTCAGACACGCTGTGGAGCTCTTTGAATTCGCCGACAAATACAGGGGCCTGTACAGGTACCCACTCGCCGACAATTAGTATCGTCATGTGTGTGTGTGTGTGTGTGCGTGCGTGTGTGTGTGTCCAGTGATCACACTCCAGGGGAGTTCATGGGCTACATCAGCAGCGGCTACCTGGATGAGATCGTCTGGGGCGCTCTGTGGCTGTACCGGGCCACCGGCAATCAGACTTACCTCGACAAAGCCATTGCTATGGAGAAAGACCTGCCGTCATTCGCTGACGGCGATATGTCGATACTCACACCACCGACACCTGAGTGGGGGCCCTTCTGGTGCGTCAGACGAGTGATAGAGAGGCACATGCCCATGCCCTCAGTATACACCCTGATTCTGCAGGAATGACAAACACATATGGAGCTTGGTGCTGCTGACTCAGCTCACAGGTACACACACACCAATGCACCTGAGCATCGCGAAGACGGCTTCTCTGCACCTACCTCTTCATCTCTCTCAGATGACCCTCTGTACGAGAAGAAGCTCTCCGTGTACACAGCCAACCTCCTCCCCGGCGGCTACTATGGGTACCTCCCCAGCGGCCTGGCCATGATATGGTCCTGGGGCAACAACCGGCACATCTCGTCAGCAGTGGCCGTGGCAAGCCACATGGCCATGCACACAGGCGACCGGCGGCTGTACCGCTGGGCCAAGCGGCAGGTGGACCTACTCATCGGCAACGCTCAAGACATGCCTGAGGGCGAGAGGCGCTCGTATGTGGTGGGGTATGGGCCTAACCCCCCTCTGAGAGTGGCCCACAAGACCAGCTACTGCCCGTCGTTTCGCACAGGGCTGCCGTGCAATGAGTTCGTGCCTGGCTCGACACACCCAGGGCCCAACCTGCAGGTGGGTATTTGTGGGCGTGGCGTGTGTGGGGCTGGGGAGGGAGGGGGAGGGGGTATGGGAATGCCCGTGAGTGCGATATCCCTGTGTGTGAATGCAGACGCTGACAGGTGCACTGGTGGGTGGGCCCACATACGATGGCTATTTGGACAAGCGGGACCAATGGAATATGAACGAGGCAAGATGACCGACCCTATAGCAGCCATGGGTGCTCACTCACTCTGTCTTTCTGTCGCTGTATGTGTGGCTGCAGCCTGCGATAGACTACAATGCTCACCTGATCGCTGCCCTGGTGTCAGTGCTCAACGCCACTGACCTGCCGGCCGACAAAGGCACCGAGAAATGATACAGATGGATGGATGGATGTGCGCGTGATGTTGATGTGGTGTGAGTGAGTGAGGTTGTATAGGAGCACTGGCAAGTACTGCTAAGAGTAGATGCCTCACTCAGTCTTCGTGAGTGCGTTCCCGACTCCCTGCCTGCGCGCGTGGGTATCTCATTTGGCAACCAGCCGAAGGCCCTTCCACGTATGTGTCAAATTAGTTATCGATTGACGTGTGCAGTGCGTGTGGGCGCGTGTGGAAGTCAACAGGCCATGCATGACATTTGCACCCTCTTAAGTCAATACGCGTCCATCACATCCATCAATCGTCGCGTCACACATGTGCAGGCATGCACACGCGGCAGCAATGCTTCCTTCATGACACCACAGCCTCCCCCTCGTTGAGGGGTATCTGTGTGTCCCTGCACACCCTACATCTCTCACGAACCTGCGTGGCGTTGGTCCACAGCTGCAGCGTCAAATCTAACCGAGAGAGCGCCGATGCAGAAAATTGCCTGGACAACCGGGGACACGCACAGAGAGGACAAGCAATCAATGGCTGACAGGTCGTGTGTGTGTGT